TAGTTGTGACAGCATGGATTGAAAAAATCCTCACCGACCTGAAGGTACCTGGTTAAGCACATTGAAGAAGTACCTACAACAATCTCTTTTTTCCTTCCTCCTCTTTTTTGTTTTTTTTTAAAGGAGTTTTGAGAGGAGAAAAGTGATTTCCTCTAAAATTCTGTTTTTCCTCCAATAGGTCCAGCATAAGCGAGTTCCCTGTGGAAAGGAAGAAGTTAGCCTTTTTCTAACAGCAATAGAAAACTCCTGGATTCATTTAAGGAGAAAGAAAAGAGAACGAGTAAGACAATTGAGAGAAGTTCCCCGAGCTCCTGAGGATGTCATCCAAGCCTTGGAGGAGAAAAAGTCCACCCCCAAAGAGTCTGGCAGTAGCCAAGATTTGGCCCAGGGCCCCGGGGAGAGTGTCCCATGTGGGCCTGCTTCACAGGAAGGCGAGTCTGCCACTGTTGAGGGCCATTGCTCAAACCAGGATCTCCTTTCCCAGGAAGAAAACCCAGAACCCATGGAGGATGAAAGGAATGAGGAAAAGGGAGGGATGGAGATTTTGGAGAGTTGTAAAGGCTCTAGCAATGGAGCCCAGGACCGAGAGGCTTCTGAGCAGTTCAGCAGTCCAGTGTCTGAAAAGGGGAGCCATCTCCAAGGAGTGGCTGGACATTACCTATTCAAGTGTTTGATAAATGTGAAGAAGGAGGTGGATGATGCTTTAGTTGAAATGCATTGGGTTGAGGGCCAGAACAGGGATTTGATGAACCAGCTTTGTACCTATATACGTAACCAAATTTTCAGGCTTGTTGCTAGTTAATTTCTTGCACAGTTGGGAAAGTTTCTATAAAGTAGCCTGCTTTGGGGTGGCAAGAGGCATTCCACCGTAGGCCCACTGATAACATTATGTGCAATTATCTTTAAAATAAAATAAATCTATTTTAAAACACTCCCCACTCCCACCCCTTTAAAGTTATTGGGCATTAGTATGGTAGTTCATGAGGAAAAATTGTTACCAGCATCAACAAAAAGCTATCCGTAAACCCAGGAGGGATTTAAACCTGACTTAAGCTGACCACCTTAGCTTTAGGCTGAGGCCGAAAGGATTGTTTTTGGAGTCTGGTCTGGGTCGGAACTACAGAGCATCCTGCTCGGTCATCCCTAGTTGCTTCTTGAGGAGGGGTGGCTTTCTCGTTCTCTGAATGGAGGCAGTACATCGGAGAGATAGGCCCTGTGCCCACTTCCAGAGTCACCTGCAAGACTTCTCTGGGTACATAGGATTGGTTACCCCTGCGTCAGTCCTGAGGAAGGAACTGGCCTAATGGTAGGTGGTGGGAGAGTCAGGGAGAGAAAGCTTAGTAATGCCAGGAAGAAGGGCTGACCTGGGAGGGCGCCTGGAAGCGTCACATTCCTGATTCATGTCTGTTTTGATGGTGCTTATTTCAGAAAACAGAATTAGGTAAGCCAAACTCCCACCAGATGTGACTGAGACACAACAGAATGAAGCCATACTCCTACCTCCCCTGTTTGAAAGTACGGTTTTGTAGTGGTTTTACTGATGTGTATTTTTTCTTTTTCTTTTTTTTTTAAAGATTTTATTTATTTGAGAGAGAGAATAAGAGAGAGCACATGAGAGGGGGGAGGGTTAGAGGGAGAAGCAGACTCCCCGCCGAGCAAGGAGCCCGATGTGGGACTCAATCCAGGGACTCCAGGATCATGACCTGAGCCGAAGGCAGTCACTTAACCAACTGAGCCACCTAGGCGCCCTATAATTTTTTTTCTTTTGACATTTGAAGTGGAGCTTTGTTTTATTTTTAATATAAGAATATGCAGAATTGAAATCTGTCAATCCCGTTTGAATCCTGGGATTCGGGGGAATATTTCCATAGATCTGAATGGATAAATGACTGATGATAGAAATAAGAAATGGAGCAAGATAGTTATGAGCAGTAGGTTGCTTAAGAAAGTCTCATCTATTGGCAGAGAAGTTGTAGCTGATCATATATTGCTTTTTGTGGGTTCCCTTGTAATCTCTTCGGTGCTTACCTGTTCGCACTGGAAATTCTGAGGCCAGGGTGACCATGTTCTTAAAACATGTTTCTCATTGGAATGTCTCAGGGCTCAGCAAGAATACCTCTGGAAAGGGGGTTTCTTTTTTTGTTGTTCTCTTGGTGTCTCAGTTACCCTCTGCTGTGTTTAACTTTCACACCTTGCGTTTGATTTTATACCAGTGGTCCTAAGGCTGTGTCTAGACTGAACTCTTGAGTACAGTGCCAGAGCACCTTCTTATCCTCAGAGAAGACTGGGGCTAAGTAGTTAAGCCATGCTTTTGAAAGGTGGCTATTGGTTAGGGCAGAAAACTGATGAAATTGGCCTGTCTTGGCAGTACCTAGACCCAGCCCTCAGCAGAGATAAAAGAACTAAAAATAGGACTATATTGTACTTCCCTCTGTCAGTAAAGACAGAGCTGCCCAATAGAACATACTAACTAGGGCGCCTGGGTGGCTCAGTTGGTTAAGCGACTGCCTTCGGCTCGGGTCATGATCCTGGAGTCCCAGGATCGAGTCCCGCATCGGGCTCCTTGCTTGGCGAGGAGTCTGCTTCTCCCTCTGACCCTCCCCACCTCATGCTCTCTCTCTCTCTCATTCTCTCTCTCTCAAATAAATAAAAAATTAAAAAAAAAAAAAAGAACATACTAACTAGTGCTCTTCACTAGAAGTCCAAGGACCTCTAGAGAATCCATAAACCTCCTGGATCATTTCAGAAAGCTCTGTGAACACCCCCTCCCCCCACCCCTTCAGAGAGAAGAATCTCTGACAGGATGAGAAAACCAGTACCCAGGGTCACACAGAGTAGCATGTGCTCATTAAAGATTTGGAAAATGAGAGTAGAAAACAGCAACAGAATCACCCCTTGTCGCAGTCTTATGACCATTATTGTATTTTAGTGTTTCCTTCTAGTTTCTCTGTAGATGATCTGGGTGCGCAAGGGTGTGGGCTTAACTTTGTACTCATGCTGTGTATTTAATTTTATATTACACTTCTCTTCGTTTAATGTCTTGTATTTTTCTGTGTTAGAACAATAGTGTATTTACATACATTCCCTGCCTATTCAAAATGCATTTCAGGCACAGTACTAACTTTCATTTAAGTCTGGTACTGAGGGCTGCCCGGAAAGTGCTCTGTGTGACTGGAGGCACAGAAGATGCGTCTTGCTTCTCTATGTGTTTCAGTGCTCCAGGTTTAAGGCTCAGTGTCCTGGAGGAGGTTTTATAGGTGGTGAGCTCACGCTCTTAGAATTTAAAAACTGAATGATGAGGCTTGAAGCTTCCAACTAGAGCTGTGAGTGTCTTCTTTGTACTTGGATCTCTTCGTTTTCTTCTCTGAGGAGAAAGTTTATTTCTGTCTAACGAGAGAACATTGAAGACATTTTTAAAAGACATCCAGAAATTATTTTAATTATGCATATATTTTATAATTGCGTGATGTGTGGTAGCATACACTCTGGTATAAGGGAAAAAGGAATTTTTTTTCTTTTTTCTTTTTTTAAGATTTTGTTTATTTATTTGACAGAGACCACAAGCAGGGGGAACGGCAGAGACAGGGAGAAGCAGGCTTCCCGCTGAGCAGGGAGCTGGATGCAGAGCTTGCTTGGTCCCAGGACCCTGAGATCATGACCTGAGCCGAAGGCAGCCACCTAACCAACTAAGCCACCCAAGCGCCCCGGAATTTTTTTCTTTCAAGAAATAGATTATTCGGGGCACCTGGGTGGCTCAGTCATTAAGCGTCTGCCTTCGGCTCAGGTCATGATCCCAGGGTCCTGGGATCGAGCCCCACATCGGGCTCCCTGCTCCGTGGGAAGCCTGCTTCTCCCTCTCCCACTCCCCCTGCTTGTGTTCCCTCTCTCGCTGTGTCTCTCTCTGTCAAATAAATAAAATTAAAAAAAAAAAAGATTATTGACCAATGTATCATAAGGTTGAGTGATGCTTGCCTTAGGTGCCTAGAGGTCAAGTTCATGTTGATGGATTTTATGGACTTAAATCTTTGTGGTATTATCTTAAATTCTATTCTGGTCCCTGGCATTGGCTTCTGATCTCTTGGTAACTAAAGTAGAAGCAGAAGCTGAACTTACTCTCCAAGGGGGACCAAAGCTGCCTTTGTTCTTTGGAATCTGCTTTGCTTCTAGCAGTTTGGTTCCTTCACCAGAGCACTGCTGCGTGTCCTAGAAGGGTTGGTGTCACCATGGTGGAATTTCAGCTGATCTGAAGGGTTCATGTTTGTCACTTAAAATTTTAGTATCTATTTTTTGAAATAAAGAAACCTCTCTTCTCTTGGTGGAAATGATGTGAGCACACCAACATCTAAGCTCTGACTAGTAATAAAACTGCAAGATGTGGAAAAGATGCAAAAGCCTATGGAAAATCCAAGCCCTCTTAAAAGAAGGGAGTAGGTAGCCCTTCATCTAACCTAACCCACAGCATTTTCCTCTCTAGCCACACGGGGGCATCTTTGGCCCTTTGATCAAGCACCTTCACTTCACTGCAGGAATGGATAAAATGTGTCCTTGGTATTTTCTTGAAATATGCATTTGCTACCCAGATAATATTTTTTATGCATCTTTGGCCCTTTGATCAAGCACCTTCACTTCACTGCAGGAATGGATAAAATGTGTCCTTGGTATTTTCTTGAAATACGCATTTGCTACCCAGATAATATTTTTTATGCAAACAAGTAAATTTTCACATAAATAAAATTTGAAAAGTAGAAGTAGAAAGAGGTAAAAACCCACCACCCCATGGTCTTTTTATCTGGGCATAGTATGTCAACCTTTTTATGTTTCTTTATGGTCTCAGTTGACAATATTTTCTTTTATTTCCATGTGTCCTGCTACTCTAGAAGATACCCAGGTTGGGTCAGTCTTTTGGATTAACTTTTATCTAGTTAATGGAGGTACTGGAGGGGGCTATACAGTAGTTTTCCAGAAGTCTTGGGTTCCAGGAAGAGTTAATATAGAGAGTTCTAAGAAACTGTTTTCATTGTTCTTTTGTCTTTAAATTCTTCCTTTGGTTTATCTGGTTGACTGGCATATATGATGTTTACTTCAGAAGTTGGCACAGTTGGCTCTGTGTTGTGTACATTATATTGGTGAGCTAGGCCTTGTTTCCCACAAGGGATGTTTATCTGTAGAACATAGATCTTACTAACTCTGGGGTCTGTGTGGGTAAAGGAAAAGTTCCATCTACCCTTATTGTTATGGCACAGAATGAGAGGTGATGGGTGGCCCCCCAACAGATCTGTCTGCACATGAGGAGGGAAAAGGTCCAGTTTGGAAAACTAAGGAGCCTCTTGGAGAAGGAAAGTCTCAAAGGTGCAGCAGGTTTGCAGCCATTCAGGAGGTGCCCCTAGGAAAGGGACGTGACATACCTTGTTTAAAGAAGTTGGTGCCAGGAGATTGGGTTTGCCGAGTGGGCACTAGCCCCCGTGAAATGCAGAAGACATTTACTCCTGAGACTGAATTGGCTTTGGCCTCCTGGAGCAGAGCGTGGATTGTCTGGAACCTTTCTGAATGCTCCCCAGTACCAAGTCTTGGCGCTAGTGCCAGCACAGTATTCGAAAGCCCTGTGTGGGGCTCAGCCCACTAGCAGCAGGGCCTCACGCACATACCCAACAGCTCCCACTCTGCTCTGTGGAGACATTCAGATCCTCTGCTGTGACTCACCCAATGACTAAAACAGCAGTTTATTTTTTTAATTACTGGTTGGAACAGCTAATGCTGCCTTCTGGAGGCTGTGCTCTTACTGCAGGAGGCTGTGTTGGGACTGAGTGAGGGCCCTGCACCTCTGAATGCCCTTTGAGGTGTGGCCTATCTGCCTGTCAGTCCAAACAAAAACATCAGGGACTCTAGGCTCTCCCTTGGGAAGTGGAGGGTCACGGGTGCTTGCTGTGAGCCAAGAAACTGTGATAAGAAGGAGTGGACCAGAAACTGCTGCTGGACTTGGCAGAATTGGCTTGTATATGATGTTCCCAAGAGGGCAAAGGATATTTAATCCCAGATGCTTCTCCAGCACTCTAGGAGAATGAAGAGCAGGAAAGAGACTTTGCATCTTCAGACCTGGCTTTGTGTTCCAGTTCCACTCGCAGGGTAAGTCAGTTTCACTAAGCCTTGGCTTCCTGGTACAAAAGATGAGGGATTCTTCCTTCGCAGAGTTGTAGCAGCAGTGAAGTGAGAAGTACTAAGACACCTGGAGGAGTGCATAAGCAGAGCGGTCTTCTCAACTTGCTCATCTCTTTGTATTCTTCTTTGAGTTTTCCATTTCTGGTCAGAACATCTACCCATAGACTCATGTCCGAAGGCCAAGACCTCAAGTGTGGAACTGCAGGTGTAGAGTACCACTTCTTTTTCTTTCTTTTTTTTTTTATAAGTGTTTTTTTTTTTTAAGATTTTATTTATTTATTTGAGAGAGAGAGAATGAGAGAGAGCACAAGAGGGGGGAGGGTCAGAGGGAGAAGCAAACTCCCTGCCGAGCAGGGAGCCCAATGCGGGACTCGATCCCGGGACTCCAGGATCATGACCTGAGCCGAAGGCAGTTGCTTAACCAACTGAGCCACCCAGGCGCCCTGTAGAGTACCACTTCTTGACCAAGAACAAACCCCACGCTTCCATGTATACTGGAGTGACAAATGGGGAACCAAATTGATTGGCCATCTTCTACATAAATTGTCTCGTTTAGTAACTCAGCACAGTGGTGGGGTGTCCCTCTGTGATAGCTTTAAAAAAAATGGAAGCTCGGAGAGCTTAAGTGACTTGCCCTAAGGTTATCCACAGAGCTAAGTCATGGAGATGGGGTTTGAACTTGGGTCCAGAAATCTGAGACTGGGGTCTTGTACCAAATCTCAAGATTTTGTAACAAATGCTACACTTAAATGGAAATGGGCTTTTAGGCTCATTTGACCTACCTCTGGGGAAGGACACTTCTAATACATGGCACAAGGAAGAGAGAAAAAGCATCTCTCAATCAGCTTCACTTCATTTAGCACTTTAAGGTAGTATTATTTTCAAGCCTGGGATCAATGAGCAAGATTTGATAAATGAAATTGCTTATAATTAGTTCTTAATTTATGCTACCAAATCTTCATAGAATTTTGTATTTGGCAGCAGTGCAGATAATTAAGTAGTTAGTGGAACCACATAATAAAATGTCTAGTGCAAGCACATGTTGGATCAGAATCAATGTAAAATAACTGATAATTAGGTAATGACTCTTTGATAATACATAATTGTATAATAATGGAAGAAGGGTTTTACTTTTTTAATATTTTAATAGGCAGCTCCAAATATTTCACTTAACAGAATTGATGTGCTTTTTGATCTTGCTGGAGAAAGTCGCAGTTGTCAAAAAAACAGCAAGTCATCTTCCCCAGGTAGGGTGAATGAACTCATGTAAGTCTAGAGGAAAGAAAAGGCTGCCTGCCATCTGGTGGACCCATTCAGGGAGCGTGGCCCAAGTCTAGAAACTAGAGCCAGGAAATTCCCAGCTAGGGGACTTGGCTGGCTTCAGCAGCCAATTAGCCCCCAGGGAAATGGCAGCTTAGGCTACTGCTGTCCAAAAAGAGAAGGCTCTGCGGAGAGCACTGTGGAGCCAGACCCCTCCCGGGACAGCGGAGGAGGCATGGGCCTGCTCCCATAGATTCTGTGATTCAAGAGATTGGATGTCTCTTGCTGGGAAAGGGGGGTTCCCAGTCTGGGGTAGGATCCTTAATTCAGGTGTGTTTGTCCCAGGATTCCTGCCTTCAGGGGCACACGTGGGGCTTTTGAATCAAACTCTAGCCTGTATTTCTCTGAACTCTAGATGAGCACTAATAAGGACTTGATTGATTCACAAAGGGAAGTATTTCCTCATCCTCTACAGTAGGGGCCAGGCAAGAAGGGATAGAGCTCATATTCTGACTAAAAGGGATTCCCATTGGTTGTTACCATGCAAAAATAGTGTTTCTTGGATCTTCTGATTTTTTTTGCAAGAAGCCAGAAATCCAGATTTATGAGAAATTTACTTAATTGTAAATCCTGACAGCTAATTCAGTATTTTGTAAAAACCTGGTAGACCATCAGTTTTGTGACCTCTTCCACCACCAGCTGGTAGAACTGTTTAAATATTTGCTGCCTCCACTTCCCTAACTCTTATTAACCTCACCTACTCAAGTTGGCTTGCTGCGTGCCTGCCTGCCTGTCTGCCTTTTTTATAAAAGGTGCCTTCTCACCTCTTAGGAGAGAATCCCGAAGATTCCATCCCAGGGTCCTTGTTTGCTCTTTGCTCCTAGCACTTCTGGCTGATTGCATCCACTCCCATGACTTGTTCACCCATGGATTCATCATTCCCAAATCTAGACCTTTCCTGAACTTTTAACATCCACGTACCTAACCACCTACTGGACATCTCCCCCAGGACCACGGCAGTGTCAAACTCAACTTACTGTTTAAACCTGCTTCTCTCCCAGGATGCCTGGGTGGCTCAGACTGTTAAGCATCTGCCTTCGGCTCAGGTCATGATCCCAGGGTCTTGGGATCGAGTCCCGCATTGGGCCCCTTGCTGAGCAGGGAGCCTGCTTCTCCCTCTGCCTGCCGCTCCCCATGCTTGTGCGCGCTCTCTAATAAATAAACTCTCTAAAAAAAAAAAACTGGCTTCTTTCCCATATTCTTGATCACCATCCATCCAGCTGCCCAGATTAGGAATCTCTGTTCCTCTCTCTCCTTTACCACCAGGGACTAAAATCTTTCACGTTGGAAATATCTCCCAAATTCAGCCCAGCCTCTCCATCCAGACTGCCACTACCTTAGTGCTCTTATCTCTCATCTGGACTGGAAGGGTCGCCTGAACCATTTCTGGGGCACTTCAGAGCTGAGTAGCAGAAAGAGATTTAGATAGATGTGGTGGCGGGGAGGGAGATGAAGAAAACCCACGTTGGGGGGCGAAACAGGAGCACTTTCAGAAGAAGGACTGGGGTGGGAAGTAGATCCATAGCAACATGTCACATTGAGGTCAAGAGATACGAGGCCCTTCCTGAGAGAACACAGGAGAACTTTTTTCCCCTTTAACTTGTTTCATAGTTACAAAGGTAATGCATTCTCATTATAAGAATTTAGAAAATAATGGATAAAAATTTATAATTCCACTATTCAAATGGAGTTATTTTATATTTTGTTAGTATTTTTATATGTATATCTATTTTTAAATAGCAAATGTGGGATCATATTGTGTATGACTTTTTATAATCTTTTTCATGTAGCAATATATTGTGATAACTTTCTTATTATAAAACTAATCTCTGTGTCAGAAAACTTGTAAAAATAAAAATTACCAGTAATCACACTGCCCAGAGACAACCACCACTAATATTTTGGTTTGCTAACAACCTGTTTTCTTTACATGCCATATTGTGAGTGTTACTTCACTACCTTGCTGGAAATTTTAGTTTCTGATTTTCACTATTGTAAATAATGCTTTAGTGAGTATCTTTGTATAAAAATTTTTATGTGTGTGGGGGGCGCCTGACTGACTCAGTCAGTAGAGCATGGGACTCTTGTTCTCCCCGTCGTGAGTTCAAGCCCCACATTAGGGATAGAGTTTCTTGAAAATCTTACTATGTTTTCTTATTGCTTTAGGATAAACTTACATAAGATTACTGAAGCAGGGGCGCCTGGGTGGCTCAGTTGGTTAAGCAGCTGCCTTCAGCTCAGGTCACGGTCCCAGGGTTCTGGGATCGAGCCCCGCGTTGGGCTCCCTGCTCGGCGCGAAGCCTGCTTCTCTCTTTCCCACTCCCCCTGCTTGTGTTCCCTCTCGCTGTCTCTCTCTCTCTGTCAAATAAATAAATAAAATCTTTAAAAAAAAAAAAATTACTGAAGCAGAGGAACCTTTTTAAAGGTTCTTTGTGTATATTGCCAATTTGGTTACTAAAAAGGTTGTGCTAGTTTACATTTCCATTAATGCCAGTTTTTACCACTGCTTTGATAGCACTACAAGGCTAATTTTTAGTGTCTTTTTTTTTAAGCTAGCTATTTATTTATTTATTTATTTTAGAGAGCATAAACAAGCTGGGGGAGGGGCAGAGGGAGAGGGAGAGAGAATCTCAAGCAAACTGCGCTGAGCACTGAGCGTGAGGCAGAGCTTGATCTCACAACCCTGAGATTACGGCCTGATCCAAAATCCAGAGTCAC